AGAAGGTATACAGGAACTCTGTACTATTTTTACATTTCTTTAAACCTAAAATTTCAAAAAAAAAAAAATTTCTGAATGGGAAGAAATCAGAGAGGGAGACAAACCATGAGAGACTCTGGACTCCGGGAAACAAACTGAGGGTTACGGAAGGGAAGGAATGGGGGTGGGGTAACCAGATGATGGGTATTAAGGAGGGCACATGATGTGATGAGCACTGGGTGTTATACATGTCTAATGAATCACTGAACACTACATCAATAATTAATGATGTACTAAATGTTGGCTAACTGAACATAATAAAAAAAAATTGTTAAAGATCATGACCTGAGATCAGAATCTAATGTCTGTTCTATCCAAAAATAAATAAATTTAAAAAAACAGGCTAACATAAGTAAAGAATTGCTATTGGGGGAAATGGGAATAAGGAGTTACTGTTTAAAGAGTGTCAGTTTGGGATGACGTAACAGTTGTGAAGACAGAGTGTTGATTGTTGTACAATATGAATATACCTAATGTCACTAAACTGTACAATTAAAAATGGTTAAAATGGTTAAAATTTTATGTTGTATTTTACCACAATAAAAATAAATAATAATAATAATAATAATAATAATAATAATAAAAGAACTAATCAACTGGGAATGTGGGGGAGCACACGGGCCCACATGCACATACATACAAATCCTTTAAGTAAAATTCTAGGGGCGCCTGGGTGGTTCAGTCGGTTAAGCATATGCCTTCAGCTCAGTTCATGATCCTAAGGTCCTGGGTTCGAGCCCCGCATTGAGCTCCCTGCTCAGCAGGGAGTCTGCCTCTCCCTCTCCATCTGCCTCTCCCCCAACTCATGCTCTCTCTCACACGCTCTCTCACAAAAATAAATAAAATCTTTTTAAAAAAAGTAAAAATCTAAACCTATTAATTTTTCATCACTTTATTTTGAAAATTTTCAAACCTACCAAAAATTTGAGAGAATTACTGAATGAACATCTACATCCCTTCTCCCTTCTACATCCCTACAATTCACTTACTGTTAAGCTTATCACATTTGCTTGCTCGCTCTCTATACACGCACACTTTTTTACACTGAACCATTTGAATTTAAGTGCAGATATCATGACACTTTACCCTTAAACATAAGAATACTGTCCTATATAACTAAGTAACATTATCACACTTAGAAAAATAGTATCAGGGGCACTTGGGTGGCTCAGTTGATTAGGTATCTGCCTTCGGCTCAGGTCATGATCCTGGAGTCCCAGGATCGAGCCCCACATCACATCAGGCTCCCTGCTCAGCAGAGTCTGCCTCTCCCTCTGTCCCTCACCCCATTCTAGTGCTCTCTCTCACTCTCTCAAATAAATAAATAAATAAAATCGTTAAAAAAAAACCATCAATTTAATATCATCTAATATAAAGGCAATAATTACATTTTTAAAATTATCACCAAAATAACTATTATAACCTTTTACTAATTCAGGTGGAAACTGTAAGTTCACATGTTGCCCTTGATTTACTAAGTCAGCTACTCTCTTGATTTCTCCCCACTGCCTAACTTAAGTTTCCAGACAACATAGGCATATCGGAGTTTGCAAAACTTGGAAAATCATGCAACTTTAAATGTAGTATCAATCACTATGATCATAATCCATATTAGAAACATAAATATGATGGGATTTTGGTTTACTCCCTCTTTCACAAACAAATGAAAAAACACTTGGGTAGGGCGCCTGGGTGTCTCAGTCATTAAGCGTCTGCCTTCGGCTCAGGTCGTGATCCCAGGGTGCTGGGATGGAGTCCCACATCGGGCTCCCTGCTTGGCAGGAAGCCTGCTTCTCCCTCTCCCACTCCCCCTGCTTGTGTTCCTGCTCTCACTATCTCTGTCTCTGTCAAATAAATAAATTAAATCTTAGGGGAAAAAAAAAACACTTGGGTAATAAATTACCCACAGAAGAGGCCAGTGGAAACAGGTCAGGTCACAAAAAACTTACGTTTTAATAAAATATTTCAAATGTAACTGTGCCTACTAAAGGACTCTATATTCTGAACTGAGCCCTCAGAGGCAAAATCAGTATTTCCCCTTTTGTTGAAGATGCACAGGAATCATGTTAAGTTATGTCACCTGCTTAAATTGCTCAGTTCTTTATAGAATCTGAAAGACAAGCTTGTAGTCATGCTGCAAGGAAATCTGTAAATTAACCATTCACAAAATGATGTATTATTATTTATTAATATGAAAATGTCCTTGACATATTAAGTATATGTGCATGGGGGGAAGCCATCCTCTTCCTCTTTAATGAATAACTGCTGCTCAACAGCCCTTTAAATATTCAGGATTCCAAGATTCTTTCCTTAGCCCTTCATCTGCATATTACAGGCTCTACTAGGCCATCTCATTACTTTTGTCATATTATACATATACCATGACAACTCCAAACACCTGATAGTCATCCCAGACTTCTCTCTTTCACATCAGTTAACAAGAACTAACAGTTCAGTCTCTATATGACCAAAGTCAATTCTCCTCTTCAATCACACTTGGTTATCAACTATAGCAGTATTCTCCAAATAGATGCAAATCTAAGCTCTGAGTATCACAGAATAACAGGCAACTAATCTGGTCATATTATATTCTTGGTTAAAATCTCTCAATGGGAACAATGAGTGGTTGGGCTGAGGCTGTGATTCATGAGTACTAGTAATGAATGTCCTATGCCACACATGTTCATCAAGATGTCTGCTTATAAAATGTGTCCTTGTCTGTATGTAGAGCATACATTAAAGTTGTTTTAAAAGTGGTGGTATTCCTCTGTGAATATACTAAAAACAGTTAAATTGTACACTGTAAACAGGCAAACTTGTATGGTTTGTGAATTATATCTCAAAACAGCTACAATTCAAAAAAATCAAAAATAGAAATAATTTTTAAAATTAAAAAATAAAGGGAACTTTCTCTAACTCTCCAGCCTATAGAGACTACTGTACTTCTCAGCCACTTTCAAAAATGTTTTCCTATTCCTAGTGGCAAAAAAGAGTTTATTTGCCCTCCAGGAGTTTGGCAGTAAAGTTTTCAAAATCTGCCCCAAGAAACCAAAGTTTCTCTGAACATTTTGTTAGCCAAAATGTTCAAGAAAATTTCACATTTAATTTTTCCATATACTTGTGATTACTTAAAGAATGCTCTCCCCCAATGTTCAAGTAAAATGGGCACACCAAAGACGTGTGCAATGTTTACTCTACAGCCTCATGTACCCATGGGTCCACTGCCAAGTACTCCAGTTTGAGAAACAAAAGTTTACAAGTGTCTCCCACACTTGGTGTCTGTCTTCCCCCAGTTTCATTTCCCATTGTTACTTTCCCTATTCCCTCCTATAGTCCAGTTATACCATGTTAACTGTATCCTGTCCACCATGTGCCAAACATTTTGCAGAGGCTTCTAAAGCTTTTCCCTGTTTATATTATAAATCTTCACATCTATCTGCTCCTCAATTACAACTTGGTCTGCTGAGTGAGACTCTTCATCTTTGTGAAGTCGTCTCTGGGGATAACTGCCATCCCCCAAGAAGCTAAAGAAATCTTCCTTTGTGCCACACTATACAATACCTCTGTTATAGAAAACATCCCTCATACTGCTATAATTTCATATAATATTAATGTCAATAATTCTTACAAAACTACTGACGCCAATCCTGGCTATATATCAGAATCATGTCAGAAGTGCTTTATAAAATATATGGATACCTAGGTCTCACCACCACCAATTATGCTGTAATTGGCTTGGGATGGAGTCCTGTCATATGTATATTTCAAAATCCACCAAATAATCCACATGTGTAGCCAGGCTGAAAACCACCATACAAGACAATGATTTCGTTATTCATTTTTGTATTCTCAGTGTTTACCATGATGCTGGAAATAGGTAAGCACTCAGTGCAGAAGGATTCACTTTTAATGTAATGAAAATTTTATCTGACTACATACAAGCTTTGCATATAATAAATCTACCAAAATTAATTGCATCTTCTATCCTTCCTTAGGAAAGCATTATTTCTTCCTGCAGTTACAAGTAATCGTATATTGTCTACATAGCCTTTAAGTATATCTTATTTGTCATATTTATCTTGTTAATCTAGGTGTGTATGACTACTAAAGGTTAAAAATATTCTTTGTGTCATCTCTTAAGTTTCTGGGTTCTCTTCCCACTCTAAATTCTTTATTTCACTCTCATGTAAGAGAACAATTGTTACCAGTGTGTTGATATTCACTTAATATAGCTGGTCCAGGTACATTTAAATTTCATTACTATAATTAGTTTATAAAACCAATATGTTCCTGGGGCACCTGGGTGGCTCAGTCAGTTAAGTGTCTGACTTTTGATTTCAGCTCAGGTCATGATCGCAGGGTCGAGAGACCAAGCCCCACGTCGGGCTCCACACTGAGCATGGAGTCTGCTTGGGATTTTCTCTCTCCTTCTCCCTCTCCCCTCCTCCTCTTTCTCTCTCCCTCCCTCTTTTTTTTAAAGATTTTATTTACTTATTTGAGAGAGAGAAGGAAAGCACAGGAGGGGGAAGGGTCAGAGGGAGAAGCAGACACCCCACTGGGCAGGGAGCCTGATGCAGGACTTGATCCTGGGACTCCAGGATCATGATTTGAGCCGAAGGCAGATGCTTAACTGACTGAGCGACCCAGGCACCCCCTCCCTCTCTTTTTTTTTTTTTTATAGAGATTGAAGTTTTTTTTTTTTTTAGATTTTATTTATTTATTTGAGAGAGAGAGAATAAGAGATAGAGAGCACGAGAGGGAAGAGGGTCAGAGGGAGAAGCAGACTCCCCGCTGAGCAGGGAGCCCGATGTGGGACTCAATCCCGGGACTCCAGGATCATGACCTGAGCCAAAGGGAGTCGTTTAACCAACTGAGCCACCCAGGCGCCCACCCCCTCCCTCTCTTTAAAAAAAAAAAAAAAAAACAGTATATTCCTTACATTCAGAATTAAAACGTCTTACCTTTCCTTCTATTTCTGCCTTTGGCTTCTTTGTGTTCTTTAGGCTTCATCTTTTTTTCTTCTCCAGATTCTCCATCACTCACAGTGAGTTTGTGCCTCAAAAGCCTATGTCTGTATCTTGGCTTCTTAGATTCTTCAGAATCTGAATCTGATTCAGAATTGACTTGATTTTTTGCTTCTAAATGGAGAAAATGAATCAGTAAAGCCTTCAGACTTTTTTCCCTTTAAAATGTTTTATAAAACTATTTTGTTTGTTGAAAATTATCAAGATTTATGAAAAAGATCAGAGCTTGCACTTACTCTGATATCACTGGTAATACCAGGCAACCTCATACATCAGACTTGATCTATTACTATGATTAAATACTGATTAAATATCACCAATAGATTTTTTAAATCTAAATATCATTTGTAGATTTTTTTAAAAGGTAAAAAATATTTTGCTTTAAAAATCATATTTATTGGCAGTAACTGACAAAATGTGCACAATTATTACCAGATACTCAAAAGGAGTAAAAGTAGTAGCAAAGTTTTAAATATCTTAATAAACTCCAAATACATATATTATGAAATTTCATGGTCAGATAGTCCTCAAAGACTGAACTGGTCAAACAGTCAAGTTATGACATCCTACACTTCTCTTTGGAGCTCACCCTCATCTCCTGGGTTTTCTTCATTGTGTTTTCCAGTTCTTTTTTTCCCTTCTTCTGGTTCATCATCTGAAGATCCATCCTCATCAGAGGAAAGATTGGCTTTAATTTCTTCTAAAAGCATCTTCTTGGCAATTCTTGAGTAAAAAGACAGTAAAAAAAACTATATATTTGGTGGTGAAGTGTAACAAATTTTAAAAAAACTTCTATCAAAATAGAAATAAATGTGCAAAAAGATTTTATACTGTCAATAAAAGACTACCAAAACCATGTTTTAACCTAAGCTACCAACCAAAACTTTTGAAAATGCTCTTAGCACTGATTTTTTTTCCAATTCTAAATACTTCTGCAATTTATTTAAAAATCTGAGGGACATTTCTACTATTTTGACCAATTGCAATTTCATGCTGCATAATCTTCCAATCCTGTATTTGCTCTGCTGCCATCATCCAACAACTATAGTATGAGATAGGCCCACATAATAAATCAACTTATTCAGACAAATGGCATTCCAAGACAAAACTCCACATGAGAAGACTATTCAAAGCAAAACGTATTCTTAGAAAATCAAGGTTGAGGCACTTTCTTATCAAACAGTGCCTCAAACTGGTGAATAATATTTCTGGCACTTAAATTTCAATTTAATTCATAAATTCTGTAAATGAAATGAAAGCATATACCATATACTAAGTATTGAAGCAATCAGAAATCCCTAATAATATTCAAACTAGGGCAGATAAGAGAAGGGACATGAGTGCTATTAATTATACACATGGTAAAAGAACACAAAATACCATAAATGAGTCTTCACTTTCCAAAAAAGTAGACAGTGCAGTAGCCTCACTCATACCAAAATTTCTCAAGATGTTCCTCAAAGACCAATTTGTTAATGGAAAAATCAACTACTAAAAGCATGAGAAGATACTTCTTTAATGTCATCTTACGTTAAAATAAAATATAATCCTAATAAATTTCCATGTTTATGCTAAAGGAAAACATCTGAAAATGTAAAATAAAAGCAATCATGCAGCTTTTGTATAAGAGGAGGTGTTTTGCACCTGGAGTGTCTTTGTGATATAAATTTATAAATCACAGTAACAAAGGAATACCTTATAGAAAGGTTCAAAACGAAGGCAGCATGATTCTCAGTTTTCCATGAACTAATACTAACTCTTATGGGACAAACATCCACTCTGCAATCAAGATTAACTCTCTAGCTCAAAAACTTACAGCTGGAATTATGGAACTTCTGTTATTTTTGGATTTGAAACCCTTCTTTAGATTTCTTAACATACACTCACATTTCAGTCAAGATTCACTCAATGGTAGAAAATGTTAATGCCTCGGTAATTTTATTTGAAAGGGAGACTGTTCAATACTAGTTTTATACAAAGATATATAGGCAAAGGCACCAAAACAGACTGAAGCAAAATAGGTAATCACTTCATAAATACTTATATTTAAGCCTTTTGGTGCTTCTTTCCCTAAACAAACACATTAGAAATATTTAGACAACACAGAGAGTTACCAAGTAGTAAAGGAAACCACAGATGAGTTTGCTTTTTTGTGGGTTTTTGATCTGATTTGTGTTTCAATAAAGTGAGGATTAGAACACTCCAATTTAAATCCTACTGGAGTTGAGCTATAAAGTGTTGTTATTACATTTCTAGATCAGTGGTTTGCTGACTTGGATTGTACACAGTAAACTTTTTTAAGTGGAGAATAATATAGGGTTGTCAACTTCTCATTTTGCCAAGAATAAAAATTTAAAGCCAAAACTGTTTATTTTCACCATTTTATAAAATAGACTATTTCAACACACCCTCCACAAATTAGGAAACAGTTTCAGAATGAAGGGTGGTTCTTTAAATTTAATAAAAGCATCTGTCTAGAAAAACTCTCTAACATCATCTTTAATACACACTACATTTGTCATTTCCCATGGACAAGGAGAAACTTTCTTGAACCAATTTGGGTAAAACCACTGTTTTGGGGCACCTGGGTGGCTCAGTTGGTTAAGCCACTGCCTTCGGCTCAGGTCATGATACTGGAGTCCCGGGATCGAGTCCCGCATCGGGCTCCCCGCTCAGCGGGGAGTCTGCTTCTCCCTCTGACCCTCTTCCCTCTCATGCTCTCTGTCTCTCATTCTCTCTCTAATAAATAAATAAAATCTTAAAAAAAAAAAACCACTGTTTTGGAATGTGTGTGTGTGTATTACACACACACATAAATGTAAAGTGTTGAATAATAGATTGCAAATAGAAAAACATAGTTCACTTGCAGTTACAAGATCTTATATAACCATTTGGGTAGTACAATAATAACCAATAAAAATACAAGTACTAATTTAGTTACACTAAAGGTTACTTCAATCACCTGATTTCAGTTTGTATTTACAAGTTCAAAAAAAGTCTAAAATTCTATGTTATCTGTAAAGACTTGGTTAATTTTAAGAAACCATAAAATTTTTCTTCTTTCAAACTCTAGACTCCTAAGAATATGTCTACTAAATGGAAGGTCAAAATATGTAAACCTACCTAATTCATACTCAAGTTCTAGACTGTCATGAAAAAACTGAGAAATATGATACACATGAGAAAATAAGACACAATTTTATATCAACTGTGAAATTACATAATAAATCATGGAAAATTAAATGAGATCCATACACTGAAAAATTACATGATTTATCAATCAACAACCTTCATTAAGAACATAATATATAGAACAATCACAATCACTTTAGAAGTAGGAAAAAAATTACAAAATTCAGAGAATGGTCATTTTTCTCCAAACTGAAAAGTTACATACAGAGTGATGGAGATTCCCTTAGCTTTACCTCCCTAAGATGGTTTAGATTTGCCCTCTAACACCTTTTGACCAATGGAAAACCTAATGTATAGCCATGTATATTAAGCCCTAAAAAGAATAAACTTAAATCATTTTGCATGACTGATGGCTCAAGTCCCTATGTCAAAGACACACTGTATCATAAACCTAGCCTACCATGTAACCTACACCTCAAAGTTAGAACTTAATTTGAAGGACCTAAGGGCTGAGGCTGACCTTCAACCTGAGTAGTCAGCAAACATGTTGAGGTGAGATGTGTCCCATCTACAAAGCCTGCTGTGAGATGCTTTAAGGGAAACTCCACTACCTTAACTCTTGAGTCACGGGCCACAGAGACTTCAAGGACATCATCACTCGAGAACCAGCTGAGGCTGGCAAAGCATCATTTTGGAGGCCTCGGCTGGACCCGTGCTGGTATGCATGTGATGGATGTATAGTCATGATCCCTAGTTGATTTCTGTTTGCTCTGAAGTTTCCTTTCTTGAGGCTTTCCAGGACGTTTCTGAGAAAATCATCCAGGCAACAAGGTACTGCCCCCCTGGAATCTCAATGCTCAATATTACATCTTGGGGCAGGTGTAGCATCCAAAGCAGTCACGACTCTATCAGAAGCATTAGAGACACAGGCTGTGCCACTCTGTGGCAGAAAACCTGGGCAGAGCTGGAAGTAATGGAGCCACTCCTCCATTTTCCTGAAAGGGAGGGAAGGGAGAGGGGGAGAAAGCAAAACAATATGGGAGGAAGGGTAAAAACCCACAAAAAAACAATGATCGGAAATGGTGCATGAGAGAATAATAGAATCCCAAAACCCAAACAAGCTAAGGCTTCTAAAGCACATAATACCAAGATAATGTCTTATTACCCCTTACACCTTCATCTACTAAAAGGAAGCAAAAATAAAATAAGGAATCAGCCCAACAATGCAAAGACGAACACCCAAGCAGGAAAAAGAGAGAGGGAGAGAGGGAGAGGGGCAGAGGGGGAGGGGGAGAGGGAGAGGAGGGAGGGAGGGAGGGAGGGAAGGAGGGAGGGAGGGGGAGGGAGAGAGAGAGAGAGCGAGCGAGCCATGAAAGCCTTTAGTTATTCTGATCCTATCTAGAAAGGAAATGCATAATGTTCCTTGTGTAAGCACTCAAACAGGGAAAGAAAGTAAACTATCTCTTGCTGGTACATAAATCAATAATTCAAAACATTAAATTTCTAAAATAGGAGCAATCAAGAGAGGGATCTGTTGCACCATGGAGGTTTTTAGAGAAACAGCCATTACAAAAGCAACACGAAATTTTACAGCTAGAAAAAGGGACCTTAGAGTCCCAATACTGTCATTTTACAGATGAGGAAACAGGCTTAGCAAGGGAAAATGTTGTGGCCAAAGAAACAAAGCTAGTTAGTAGCAAAGCGAGAAGTAGGACCTAAGATCCTGAATCCCAATATTCTCTAATTTTACTATGCCAGTGCTATAGTCTCTACTCATTTACTACTACTATGCTTATGAGTACTTGGTGAATCTACTATAGTCACATTCTTAAAGATAATTGTATTTTATTGATTTCCAAATATGCATTTAGAAATGAAAGAATTGAAGCTTCAGTTTTTAAAAAATTTTTAAAAAGTTACATCTTTAGTCCAGTATGCTCCATCTCTAAAATGCACTTGACAGGTCATCTCAGATATATCCCTATAATCTACTGTTTTATCTTTTAAGAGGTTCTGAAAACAGGTTTGAAGAAAATTGTTAAATGAAAAATACAATTTTAGAAGGCCAAAAATTATGGTGCATCCATGCACAAAGATGACAAATTAAGAAATTGCTTACATTTTGTGTACAATACTACAACAGAATTAGTTTAAACAGAGAATTCTTTTTCTTTTAAACAGAGAATCCGGAATAAGATTATAGGTTTAAATGCATACCCTTTAGAGACACAAAACAAGTATCTATGTATATGCTAGGCTAAAATATCATACCATATTCAAAATGTTGATATGTAAAAGAACTCAAATGACTACAGCCAAAGAATGTTAAAAACTTTTTGTGAAAACAAGATGGTGAACCCATATTCTTCTAATAAAGTGTGAGGCATTAACAAATGTTATATACTTCAGGGTTAAGAATAAAAACAAATATTCCAAACTGGTTGATGGACACTAAGGAGGGCATGTGATGTAATGAGCACTGGGTATTTATTATATAAGACTGAAGAATCACAGGCCTGTACCTCTGAAACCAATAATACATTATATGTTAACTAAATGAATTTAAATTAAAAAAATGTTTTAAAAAAACC